GTTTACGGTGGTGGTGGCTGGTGGTAACGTTGGTGTGGTGGTGGTTGCAGATCACGGGCTCGATGAGGCAGAGGGCGCGGCTTACCACCACCACCACAGCCATCACCAGCAACATCATCGGCATCGTCATCATCATCCACCATCCGTCCCTCCTCCTCACCACCACCATCATCAGGCGCTACAGAAAGACGAGCAAGACCAGCAGCAGTCGACTACTACTGGGAGCAGCAGCGGCGGCGGCGGCGGTGGAGGCGGCAGTGGCGGCGGTGGTGGCGGAAGCGCGACGAACACCACCAGCACCGGGGCCGGCAAGTACCAGAGGAGCCCGGCGGACTTCAGGCAACAGAAGATGATGCGCGACCATCATCAGCAGCACGGTTACAGGTGTCCGCTCTGTTGTAGGACGCTGCAGGACATCAGTACGATGAGGGCGCACCTGGAACACCACTACCCCCGCGACTCGCCGACCTGTCCCGTTGCCTCTTGCGCGAAAACGTTCTCCCATCCGAACAGCGTCAGGAACCACATGCGCCTGAAGCATCCCGTGCAGTGGGATCAGATTAAGACGCTCAGATGGACCTACGTCTGATAAAGAGGCAACGAGGATTGAAATTATTCTTGTTCTTCTACTTCTACTTCTTCTTCTTCTTCTTTTTCTTCTTCCTCTTTTTCTTGTTCTTTTTTTGTTTTGGTTTTTGTGACGTTCGTTTCGAGTATCTTCTCTATCCTTGGATACGTTCGATGGGAAACTTCGAACGGTCCAGTCAGATCCAGTTATGATTTCCAATCGTTTTCTTGTTCCCTCGTGTCCCGGCTTCCTGATATTCGGTAAATCATTCTTCCCTGACGGTGTGTTGTTCATCGATCGCACGTGACTCGATATCGTTTCTTGGACATGGTGGAGGGTGCGTTCCTTTTGTTTCTCTCCCGCGGAAAAGGTCTCGCGTGCCAGAGTCTATAAACCCGTGTATTCGAAAAGGTTACGCGAGCCAGTAAGTATACAAGAAGGGCGAGGTATTTTCGGATCGCGCCGAGCGTCGCCCTCGCCCAGCGCTTTTGTACCCGCGAAACGCGTCGCACAAGTGCACCCCCTCCTCACTCGGAACCTATGTTACGCCCCAGCCCCTACGGTCCCGAACTGAGAAGCGCACACTTTGTAAATATTCGGAAGATTATATTGATGAACAGAACAGAAGGAATATATTATATATATATATAAATATAAATATAAATATAAATATTATAGAGAGAGTATATATAAATATATATATTATGAAGAGATAATCTATATATATTATATATACAGAAGAAGAGAGAAACACAGAGAGATGAGAGTTGATTTTGTATAAAAGAGAAAAGAAAAAAACGTACGAAGCAGTATTTCCAAGTAGAGCCTGAGAAAAAAGAAATGGTAAACGAGAAAAAAAAAATTAAAAGGAAACAGATACACATTGACACATACACACACACGCACGCAGACATACACACATACTCACATGAAACCGCGTAGTCACACCATAGATCGTGTAATAAGAGTAATAAACGTCGATTGTAAGACTACGAGCGTCGGCGGCGACGTTAACGGTTAGGTTTAAATACGTATCTTACAAGAGAAAACAATGTTCCTCTAAAGCTGAGTAAGCCAGCCTTACGTTAAAGATCGTAGTATTAAGACCGTAGGATTGGGAGTCGAGAGAATTATAAATTATGTACGAGCGGGGCGTGTAGGCGAGAATATTCGCGGCGCTGCCTGACGATGATTAGGCGCACGCCGATGTTTCGATTGCCGAACGGTTTATGCCGCGTTGTGTAACGGTTGTCGAGAGTAACTTTCGCGATGCTTCCGTAATTGTTAATCGAGGAAACGCAATATTATACGTATATTTACACACATACAATTATATGACACGCGTAGAGAGAGAGAGAGAGCGAGAAAGAGAGAGAGAGAGAGAGAGAGAGAGACGCATTAATTGCTGACGCACAGAGGCGCTTCGGAGATTGCTCGAATGCTTGGAACCTATTGCAGACGTTTCAAGTGTTTTATTTAAGAAAGGACGATCTCGCGAAAGCGAGGAAATAGGAAAAATTGATAACATCCAGTTACTTCGATCTGTAAGTGTCTCGTTAAACGCTCAAAATTCCCTTGTTCGACTGAACTACCTTTCGAGGTCAAACTATTGGACGAAATGAATTTGTTTAATGTCTTGATTCAATATAGTTTCGAAAAGCTAGGTGTAAAGAAACAAGCAATGACGAAAATAGAAATGAAATTTCGAAATGAATAAAAGAGAGTGATCTTTGAAGCGTAGCTGTGATCGCGAGAGTGAATGTGGATCGATCGGTTGACTCGAGCAACGCCTAGCCTTATTTTTCTACAGTCTTGTGTTTCGTCAGTATTCCCTAGGTGAAGAATTCCCCCAGGCAGGTTAAGTTTTCGACACACGTGTACGATAGTTACTAGAGATACGCTGCGAATGAATACGAGAAAAAAAATATATATATACGAAATACAAATATATATATATATACGCGTGCGCGAGTTGTTGGTCGCGCGAGTGGTTCAGACATGAACGTACCACGCTAGTCCCCGTTAACGATCTGTCGTAACGAATCGAATTTCCGATAGATCGTTCAAAGAACGAAACAACTTCTATTCTCCGGCAAGCCAGTTCCACCGGTCACAGAACGCGAGATCGCTTTCACGATTGACAGCTCGTGCCACGGACAATGTATAGAGCATCATACGCACTATTTTAGCAGACACTAGCGTTACGTAAGACTATACATACGACACACGAAATAAAAGTATATAATATTTAAGTAATGCTTTGTACAATAAAAGGTATTCAGAGAAGTTCACGTGGCTCGTCAGTCTTCGTCCCATCGAATCACCTATTGTTTCTCCACCCCCGCAGTTAGACACGTCCCCTTTACTTTTCATTATCTCTACCAATTTATTTTAATCAGCCCCGCCATTTAATATAACGCTTTTCGTTTCGATCCCATGGAATTCGAAGATTAATTACGGAGCAGAGTGAAATTTAAGATAAATACGCCTTGGTTTAACCTTTCATTCCTGACGGTGTTACAAAGTACCATTCCCATTAAAATGCCGTCAGGAATAAAAACACGCTCAGGTTTTCTGTTTAATTGAATTAACTGAAAGTTTCGTCCAGTAAAAGGAAAATTCCGTCATTCCGGGGACAAAGAGTTAAATGCATTCAAAACCGAAGATGTTCAGACGTCCGAAATATTTCAACGAGAAAAGATCCTTCCAAGTAACTCGGTCAGAAACAATGTCCGCGATGCGTACAGCACGATATTAAGAAAGCACATTCATTGGTTCCTCCAGTTAAATTTTATTTTACAACTCAAAGAACATTCCACCCGAGTCCAGGAACACGATCCCTCATCGTTCTTTCGTTTATCTTCTTTTTCAGTCGCCCGGCGCGGTCTGGACATGACGCGGGTCCGCGCGACGGATCCCCGGCCCTGCCCGAAGTGCGGCAAGATCTACCGATCGGCGCACACGCTGCGCACCCACCTGGAGGACAAGCACACGATCTGCCCGGGGTACCGTTGCGTGTTGTGCGGCACGGTAGCTAAGTCAAGAAACTCCCTGCACTCCCACATGTCCCGCCAGCACCGCGGCATAAGCACCAAGGACCTGCCGGTGCTGCCGATGCCGAGTCCCTTCGATCCCGAGCTGGCGTCGCGTCTGCTGGCCAAGGCGGGTGTCAAGGTGAGTCCAGCGGAGCTGCGGGCTAGGGCCAGTCCGACAGGACCCAGAAGAGGGGACATGCGACTGGAGATCCCCCGAGGAGGAGCGCCGTCGGAGGCGGGCAGCAGCATCTGCGGCGGCGACGACCCCGAGGACCTGACCCTGCCGCTGAGCCTGAGGTACGGCTCGCCAACCCCGAACAACAACACTGTGATCACCAAAGTCGGCGGCAGCAACAACAGCAGCAACACCAAGAACTCCACGGCCACCGCGATAGCAGCTAAATCTCTAGACACCATGCACGGCAGCCGCGAGCCTAACACAGCTCCCCTCCACCCGCCCAGTCATCTTCATCCGAGCCATCACAACACCAGCGCGACGGGATCAGCGATCCTGGACACCTACTTGCAGTTCATCGCGGAGAACTCGGGGCTGGCGACGATGGGACTGAGCCCCGAGCAAGCCGCGGCAGTGGCAGCTGCCCACGCAGCTAAGATGGCTCACATGAGCGCGATGGACAAGCTCGGCGGCCGTGGGATGGAGGACTACCCGATGATCGGCAGAGACGAGGGAAGAGGATTGGGCGTTGTGCACGAGGACCGGCACGACGCGTTGCAGGACAGGCACGTCGGGCTCATGGACGAGGGAGAGTCCTCCGGCGGCGAGGAGGACGACTTCAGCGAGAACGAGGAGCCGGAGATTGTGAAGGCCGAATAGGCGCGAGACCGCGACCTGTTTGTGACACGTGACCCGATTAGGAAGTGCTTGGAGGCGCGTGCCGGTGGCCCGATCGGGGCCCGCCGCCGCGGTCCTCGTTCACAGTTTAAATCCATCCACTACCTCAGTAGAGACTCCTGTTTGTTTTTTTGTTCTTTTGTTGCAAGAGAGATACGGTCCTTTTTTCCAAAGAAGAAGGAAGACGAAGTAGCTCGGAAACCGGTCGCCCGGTGGTGTCCCGGCGATGTATCGGTCCAGGAGAACGAATCCCTCCTTTTGTTGTACGCTCGGAACGGACCGGGGAATGTTCGTTTGCCTACCGTGTGTACGCACT